TGTCCTCGACTGATATTATATGAACTCTCATTACAGGGGTGGTAATAGACTCTTCAGCACCCAGATCCTCTTTATTATCTGTCAGCTGTGGACTACATCTCTAAGCTGATTAGCCAGAGCCGTCTTTTCAGCATTTCAATTAGGAGCGTTTTGAATAGTCAAGCAGCTTGCACGCCTTATATTCATTACTGACATTCTTAGAGCACTATGCGACGTTCAAATCCAGTAATCCAAGAAACATATTGCAGCAGTGAGGATGAAAGGGCAACAGAAGAATGACATCATGGCAGATTTTAATATTGGTCTCACAGGCAAAAGGCAAAAGTAGCTATTAACAGCAATCCAAAGCAATTTACAGCAGCAGAGACACTTGCAGTTTAGCATAAATGGCCCAGCTGGCAATCCTGTCATGTACACCCATATGCAAGCACACATGCATACACACAAACGGTTTTTCATATGCTTTAAAAGACAAATATATTCAAGAGAGTTATATTTACCATCACATATTAAGCTCTGTGCCTGAATCTTATCACTGCAGAATGGTAAAAATTGATAAATGTGTCAGTCTGAGTAGCATGAAGACTGGACATACAGGTAAAACACCTGTATGTCCAATTCGGCTGTTCGGCCAGGTAAAGGGCCACAAAAGGGGAAAAAATGAGAGAGGATGAAGCGGAAGAGCAGGAAATTGAGGGAGAGGAATGGGAGGAAGAGGTTGTGACTCCTAGTGCTAATGGATTTAGGTCAGATGACGAAGATATGATTTGCTTTGCACGCTGTGTGTGTTCGTGCGTGTGTGTGTTTGTGTGTGAGCTTGCGTGTACAAGTGGAGGGCATGGTTTTGTGATGTCATTAACAGTGGAGCCAAAATACGATGATCTCGGGGTATTATCAGTATCTGTTTAAGGTATCCGGCTTTGTCAAATACCCACTTGACACAGGAGTCACCATCATGTTTTATCATTCAGTCTGACTCTCTCACTTTCACACACACACACAAACACACACACAAACTCCCACTAATCCATTCAAGGCATTGTTAATCCAGCTGTGTGCTGGTACAGAGATGTGCTGTACATGGCTGACAACCAAGTCACCAACGCTGATGTCATACCTGTGTGTATTTCGGTTGCCTCCGTTGTAATCGCTGCTGTTTGCGAGACAGACGCAGCACACTATTATGCGACTACATCAAGGAGCCTAAACCGTGTACTCTGCTCTCTGCATTACAGCACACTGAATTTCTCTCTGTAGAGATCCTGAGTGTCACAAACGCTCGTGTCGGTGCGCTAAGTGAAATGTTGTTGTCATGTTCTCAGCTGTATAATTTGACAAAGAGCTCAGTCTCACTTAGAGCCTCAGTCGGGGAGAAGGGAGCAGAGAGGGAAAAGGGATGCAGTTGTGCACACTTGAGGATTTCTACAGTAGTCATGTACCATTTGCCACAGAACAATGGAAGTGGAGTAGCTGAGAGTCAAGTGCCTTTTCCCTGGGCATGTGAGTGGTGCTTGTAGAGGAAGACGACGGTCTTCCACATTTCATATTAGATTTTTCAAGGGAGTAGATTCGTTTTTTTTACCATTGTGGTTTCAGTGAGGTCTCTTTCTCTAACCTTAAAACATAATATCCCTCATGCTTAATTCAACGAACACGTTTAGACGTATTAAAATCACAAAAGAAGTATTTCATCTCATCACCTTGACACTGTCTGATCTGTTTCTCAGGTATGGTAGAGTGGGTCTGTATTGTTGGAGTGTTCAAAGATATCGCCACAGTCTTTGCTTGATTGTTATAATCTGGTCAATCTGCTTTAAATGCTTAGTTTCCAGCAGTTACTGCATCTGTTTGTCATCGACATGAGGGGATTTCTTTAATATAGTCGCAGCTCTGGCTGTAAACACAGCAGTGTCACCAACCTGCTCCATCTGATTCAAAATTGTATCCACCGCTTTGCTCTGCAGTACTCTGCAGTTTTTGGATGTTGACCAAAACAGCTTTTTCATTAATTAAGTCATGTTAAACTTGCTTTTCTTTGATTAAGGTTAAAGTAAAAGTGAACAGTACAGTCCCAACGTGTGCCCCAGTCACACAAGTATAGAAACTGTTGAGGAATTATCTGACAACCAAATGTGTATTCTCCAACCAATTGGGGAGTGGTTACTGGAGGTTGTTGGCAGTAATTAAGAAATTCACACAGGCCTAGAGACCCCCTGGTAACCTCAGGCCATTGGTTGGCAGGTGGTTGCTGGAGGTTACTGCCAGTTGCTAGTAGTCCCTGCTGTGTGTGATGCTGGACGGAAAACCTCTGTGCGATTGCTTTGATCACTAGCAGGTTACTGCTGTCTCCAGGGGTTTTCATGCAAGATGCCAACTTGTCTACAAACTACTCGCCAAGCAGCAGTGAAACTGAAGAAAGCGATTGTAACTATAAACAGAGAACATTCACCAAAACGTTCTGCCCTTCAGTTGCAAAAGGGACTACTTTCTCTTTGAAAACAGACAAACTCAAGTCCCAGTTTGCCACAAGCAACTCTGCAGTAGGAAATACGAAAAAGGAAATAAGAGGATGACATTTTAATTTGCTACCTGAACACCCATATGTACCTTTTAACAGAGACATATATAAATAACACTGTTTTATATAGCCTACTGTATTATTGAATGACTAAGTTCACTGTTATGGCCCACAGTAAGCAGGAAATGAGGGTATATTTACTGAATACAAATACCTTGCTATAATCATTGTTGTTGCAGAACTTTGCTTGCTTGCTTTGAGTGCCGTGCACTCTCATACTGTGGAGTAGATTCAGGCACCCTAACAGATTTGAGAATTTCAATTTTATTTCAGTGGTAATTTTAAATGTTGTTATTTTTTCCTCTTCTTTTTACAGAACCAGGCCAGGGACAGAGAACAGAAGAAGAAAAAGTTGGCTTAAAGGGAGCGTGGACGTGTAGTTATGAAGAAGTTAGGAAAAGCCTTCATAAATTATTTCAATGGATATACAAATGATGAGTGTAACCTTCAGAGATGTTTTGCTGGAATAAATGGGGAATAGACTGATTCTTCTACTCTCCCAGAGCACTCAAAGAATTTAATAGAACATACTTGATTCACCTATTCACACCCAGTCATAGAAGTGCTTTTTCTATGTTTAAGTGCTTTCTATCTAACATTCACACACATTCACATGCATCGGAGAGCAACTTGGGGTTAATATCTTGCCCAAGGATATTTGGCATGTAGACAAAAGTAGCCAGGGATTGAACCACCAACCTTCCTAACCCACTTAACCTCTTGACTTACAGCGACCAATGCACATAATGGGGAAATAAATGTAGTTCTTTACATTTCTAATAGAGTGGATTTTTAGGACTTTTCAGTTACAAACTAGAGGATGCATTTTTTCATGCAAGCCCAGATTAAGATTTAACTGCCTGTGTAGCATGGACGGGATAAATAAGGGAAAGCAAAGGAGTGGACACATCCAGAAAGAACAAGACAGATGTAAAGCTATGCTAACAGGAAGCACAAGAAACAAGTGAGGAAAAACAGTATGCGTAGAAAAAAACATGATACAGGCGAGGCAGAAGACTATCAAAGTAAAACAGGAAGTAGCACACTTAGACATGTAGGCTTGATACAGGGACTGGAGAGAAACACTCATGAAGACACACAACTTGATGTGGGAAGACAAAAGCACGCACATAGCAGACAGAGCTGAAAGACAGAGAGAGAAAGCTAAAGAGCAAGGGACGAGAGAGAGAGACAGAGGAAGAGAGTGCACGAGAGAGCGACAGCAAACTTGACTTTCATAAACAGACATGATAGACAACACAGAGACATGACAGGCATACAAATTAACATGAAGACAAGACTGACTTCACAGAGAGACACCAATAACTAACACAGGAAACTAGACACGAGAGAAGGAACCAGCTATAATGAACAATGACTTAATCGCATAATAACAAAAGCCTGAATGACAACAAATGCAAAATATAGAGCTATAATATAAAAATAACTAACTGGAAAACTCAAAACCAATAAGATAGAAAAATTAAAAACCCATGAGAAAGAAGGAGCAGTCAGATTGGGACATGGCTGAGATTGAAAGGCTGAATGTGGGAGAAAGAGGGTCATGACATTTAAAAAAAAAAGCTGGGAGGGATCACAGGGAAATACTGAAAGAAAAAACAGAAAGAAGAAAAGCAATAGGAAAGAGTGACGGATAGACAGAGAGATAGTAAGCACTAAAATGTAGTAGAGGAGATAGCAGATGGTGGGGATTATTCTGGACTAAAATACTCTGTGATCTACAGAGGGAAGGCCACAGACATAAACCGTTACAGACTCCATCTGCCAGAAATAGACCAAAAAGAGCTGTGCACCATCACGATAATGATCAAATACTGCCTGGATAGCAAAATCCAAAAAACGGCTATATTTGTCATCATAAACAACACAATGACTCTGAGGACAGATAAAATGCTGATGTTCAGTTATGCTCACGCGTTTAGAGAAATCACTTGGGAGAAATGTCCTGTTGAGTGTCACAGAATCGGGCCTTTCAAAAAACTTAACAGAATTATATTTAGAAACTGAAACGGGTGATCGGCAACGACGTGAAGACCTAAAACGTGCTGCTTTCAGGTGCCTATGTGCTGGAGCATTTGTTTGTGTGTGATTATGACTGATACCATCAGCCACTAATCCACATTTTATGTTCACCGTGATTAGGACAACAGCCTGCTGAGCTATGTGCGTGCATGTGCGTGTCTGTGTGTGTGTGTGTGTGTGCAGTGAAAACAAAGGCAAACTAGTCCACAAATCTCCCAAATAATTCGGTTATATCCATCCACACACATACAAAACCTGAAAACACACAAACAGAGATACAGACTAATGCTTGCTAATCACCCTGTCTCCCCCTGTGTGCAGGAAGGGAATAAAAGAGCAAAGACAGAGATCTGGAAATAAGTTGAGCTCTTTTTTTTACCTTTTCCTGTGTGTAGATCAAACCTTGAACCTGCGGAGAGAGAGAAAAGACAATAAAGAAGGCATAATTACTGTTGTGTTTTGTGAGTGAGCATTAGTGTAGCTGAGGCAATCACACAGTGCACCATCACACTGATGAAACAGAGAAATCAACATTAGCATCTCTCTGCAGGCAGACAGAACCTGCGCCATGCTCAGTTGCTTCTTGCATCTTTTCTTGATATCCCTGCAACTGCTACTCAAGACTTTAGGTTCCTGTGGCAGCAAGTAAGCCAGTGGCATTCAAGTCTCAAATATTGTGACTTAATCTTTGTGTGCATAAGAGAGAAAGTGTGTGTTTGTGCATGTGTGTTATTGGCTAATTATCTACCCTGACATGGGGGGCAGTTAATTAAATCCTTCCCCGGCAGTATGCATAAAGTAATTATTGAGCATGGATGCATATCTACAAAAAAAAAAAAAAAAAAACATTTGCATGTGATAAACATAATGTCACATGTTCCCTGATGCAAGACACACATTTAAAAGAACTTCCTTTCCAAAGAACTGAGAACATGCAGGCAATCAAACCGCAAATCAGAAATTTGTTTTTTGCATCATCTTCTCAGAAGATAATGAGCTGCTCTTCAATTCCACCTGGAAATTGAAGGTGAGCGCAATTGCACTTGACAGACCGCTAAGTTCATTGTTTCTAAGTTCATCATCACATTGAACCGGTGTTGATTTTGTTGCTCGTTGATTTTCGTTAAAGGACTGTTAAAGTTAAAGACTTCTTAATTCTTAAACCTATTATGGATTCAGTTTTTATACACCTCAAAACACCAATATGTATCCACCAACTGCGCCAGTGAAACAACACATTCCCTGCAATCACCGTGCCCCCAATTACTGCTTTCTGTTCTGAAGCTGATGGAAGAAGCCTGTCATCCAGTCGGTATGTACAACGTGCAAACAGATGCCTGCTGCATCTGCCGTCTCAGTGAAACGGTCCGGTGCTGGATTGACACGATCTGCTAAGCTGCAGTGAGTGTCTGAGATCTTTACCTTCGCTTAAAGGGCTTTGAACGCTATAATCAGTGATGAAAGCTCTTAACTGACACAACATCCTCAGAGAGAGAAAGGGGGGGGGGGGGGGGGGGGGGGAGTGATTGCGTGTGTGCGGGGTTAACTGGGCATTTTTGTCCCTTTGCTACTTTCACGAGACTTCTCACACTTTTCAATTTCAAAGATTCACTTTCTAAGATATCTCTTCCTTTCATGCAAAACACTGCGTCATTGTCCCACACTGTAGCTGCATTCAGAGTATTTTGAAAAGAGGCAACACTGGCAGTTTCAATCTGTCCTCTGCTGAAAACCTTTGATGCTTTCAAGCTGAACAGAGAGAGACTGACCACCCAGGCTACAAGAGCGCTAGAAACAACAGGAGCTTCTGCAGCATACAAATAAGCTTAACAATCTTCTACGGATACGCACACATAAACACAATAAGATGTGTATGCTTTTCCCGTACAGGTTTATGTGTTGCTAAAAATACATATAAAAGACCTTCATGTTACAGGATTAAAGTTCTTTTACCCCTATAGGGACCCCAAAGCTAACAAGCTTTATGGCTCATATAGCAAAAACATCATGCCTGAGTACTTCTGTTTTAGTTTACCAATACAAACGTTCTGCTAAGAGCTGAGTTCTTATAATCTTGCGAACATATAGTCATGTACTTGGTCAGTAGAAAAGCACTTTACACTCTCTTCATGTGTGAAGAGATAAAAAAAAAAACCAAGCAAACAAGCGAGCAAAACAAGAAAAACGAGCACACACAGTAATAATATTTCATATTTTCTGCATGAGCAGGTGATGCAAGCAGAGGTGTGAGGCTGATGCTTCGCACGGCTGATCCTTTTCAGCTGCTGACATTCACAGGACCGTCAGCAGCATGTCTTCACACTACCTGCCACATACGGCTGGAGTGTTCTGCGCTTGGAGGCATAATCATTTCAGCAGTTGTTAAGGAGAACTCATTCAGATGGAGCAAAGGCCTGTGGCAAAATTGGAAGAGGAGGGTGGTTGGCAGTGAAAAAATGTGCTGCACATGCTGCTATGTTAACAGTTAATATTTTGCGTATCTGCACAGAACTAATGCAAATTTTGTGCAACAGTGGATGTAACAGCAGTGCGTGATCGCATCTGACTAATCGATGAATGAAAGTTCAGTGACTGACGATGCAAGGAGTGGTGTTTTGGGGTGTTTTTTGAACGAGGCAGCCAGAAACGAAGGAGCCAAAATTAAAAAATGTGATGATGCGAGCAACAGGTTGCAGATACAGATACTATATCTCCCCCTCTCTAAAGGGCATCATTCACTCTACAACAATGTGATAAGTCACTGCGTGAGTCCACTGCCAACAGTTTGAATTTAATCTCAACCTCTGAGCCACTTTACAGAGAATTTCAAACCATTACCCAAGCTCAACGATTGCCAGTGGCTGCCAAGTACCTTCAAGGGAATGTCAGTTTCCATGGTAACCACGCCACCACCAGCTGTAGACCCCATGAGTGAAAAATTCTTTAACGGCCAACCGATCACAAACCTTTCTGGAAGTTTCTCCCGAGTACTGTGTTGGCCTCTCTATCTCTAATGGACTTTTTACTCTTTGTACTGTGTGTGTCAGCTGATGCTCACTCCCAGCTTTCTTTAGTAGTTTTTCTCGGACTGAGAGGGCTCTGCGACACTAAATGGAAGGATGTACACATTTTTTAAAGTCAGTTGAGAATCAGGAAATGATATGTTCCCATCATTGTAGTTTCTTAACTTTGATCACATCAAAAATGTGTTTAACCTGTAATACAGTACTGTTTATGTTATTACCTGAAGAAAGAAGATGAAAGCACTATTGTGCTACAGTCACACTAGTTTAAACAGTGGTTGGAGACACAACCATGTTTATTGTGACTGTGTTAAATGAAGTTTTCTTGTTTGGAAACAGTTGCTTGAGAGACGGGGAACAGGTCTGTCAACTGCTGTCCTCAAAACATCTTGGGTTAGTCAAGATGGCAATAAGGTGGAACCAGTCAGTTTGCAATCAAATGGGCTCAAGTTGGCCATTACATGCAGTCTGTTTGTGATAATACACCAAACTCTGATAAATCTGCAGTCCCCAGATCTGTTGCAAATCTATTGTGATCCATCCATTTTCTTCCACTTGTCCAATTCAGGGTCACAGTGGGGATGGAGGTTATCATAGTACAAGAGCCAGGATACTCTTTGGACAGGTAGCCAGACTGTTGAAGGGCCAGCACAGAGAGACAGACAACCACTTACACTCACCAACTAACCTAAGCCCGCTAACAGCATGTATCCGGACTGGGGAAGGAAGCCAGACCACAGAGAGAGGACTCACACGGACACGGGGAGAACATGTGAAACTCTTTAAGCAGAAATGCACATTAGCTATTTACATTCAGAAATCAGTCAGAACCTCAAATGTGAAACACACTTTCCTCTATAAGTAGTGGTGTAGTTGCTGTGAAATGGCAATTTAACTGCATTAAAATATAGGCGTGCTGTAACTTTGTTTTAATAAAATAATTTAAACAGAATCCAACCAGCTGGCAACCAGATTATGATGCAGATTAATTCTAGCATTTTATTTATTCACAAACCTTTGCCACTCTGTCTGAGAGTGATTCCAGTCAGTCTCAGTCAGACTACAACAGTTTGGGGACAGGCTGCCTCCCACCAAGCAACCTGTGGTATCCACTCAAGCTCTGGGTGACAAGTTGGTTAGAAAAGCAATGGCCTTGCTAAACAATACCAGGTAAAGCAAAGCTTTACTTGAAATTATGTGCTTAGATGCGCTGAGCAGTACTGAAGATGGAAAAACAACTTTACAACATGGGAAATAAGACCAACAACTGTAAATGCACAGGCAGGCTGAAACAAGCTCTGTAACTTTGACTGAATTATTATCACCATGTAAGTTACAAATTTACTGTTACAGTCTTCTGAAGGACTGGTGGGTCTTTACAGCATAATAAAGTAAATCGACTCAGCTCATTCTTTTTCCTCTAACACCAAACTGACACGAGTAAAATAAATCACTGTGGAGTGCCTTTAGTTTTGATTGCATTCCTGGGGACAGACTACTGGAGCAGTGAAAATAACAGTTAAGAAGACTGAGAATATTACTGCTAAGCATATGTGCACAATTAAAATGCAATTTGTTTAAATGTTTAAAGCGGATCAAAGTACATTCCCGAGAACTGGTATAAAAGTAAAGATGAGCTTCTGGTAAACTACAGCATCACATCTAATTATCACTAAACAAATGTTTCTATAGTAAAAAATATGTGTTGTTTCGCTTTTTGTGTTGTTTCCCTTATAAGCAGGGTTTACTTCTCTCTTCTGAAGACAAGGAAAGGAAGAGTACTGCTCAGTAGACACTGAAGAAATGCGGCTTCAAGCAAAACAGACATGTGCCTCCCAAAGGCAAAGCATGCTCATCTCTCCCGCTAGTGTGCGTAGCCAGGAGTTGATAACCAGGTAGAGAGGAGCCATGTTGGAGACAACATGCCCAAACAAACTCCCACAGGATGTGGAGCGCTTCTTAAAAGCAGACAAGCCGCATCTTTAAAAACACAGCTCTGGCATTGGTTCACACATGATTTCATGACCCACGGTGTTCACACCTGATTCTCTCCCCTCCTGGGTCTTAATCAAGTTGTTTGTTTCAGAAAGACTTCATTAGTTTGTTTCTTTGATTGTGTAGCTGTGAATGCCTCTGAGTGAGTGCGCGCGGACGAGCGCACACTGATTTAACATCATGAAACACACATACTGTCCTTGAGAGTGCCTCTGACAAATGTAAACAAGTAAAACAAATTTTAAAAAAAGCCCTCATGACGTCGTGATCATAGATCATTTTCTTACTGGGAATACAGGTCGGCGCAAGGCAGGCGAAAGTGGAGAGGGTGTTAAGAGATGTTTTCCTTTATGGAGAATGATTTGTTTGTTTTACGTTCCAGCTCGCAAGC